AAGCATCCATAATAGTACACAACAACTGTATTCCGTTGAAGACTGGCGAACTCAAGGGCTTAATTCAGAGAGGTTTAGAGTGAGGACTGATTGGTTTGATTGGTTTGATTGCTGCCATCTGGTTTGTGTGTTTAGAAGCGGAGGAGGGCCAAGTGTTGAGGGGAGAGAGAGAGAGAGAGAGAGAGAGAGAGAGAGAGAGAGAGAGAGAGAGAGAGAGAGAGAGAGAGAGAGAAGCTGGCGGGGAGATGGAAAAGAAAGGCTGGGAACAGGGAGACTGTACGACCATTCTTCCCATGAATACTCCTGCAATCGTATGGGGATCAGGAAGGGACGAAATGTATTTGATCCATATCTTAAGACCATATAATTGTTACAAGTGATAAAAGGTATGTATGCCATTCTCCATTTATGCATCTTTCTATGCTTTGTCTTAATGCATGGAGTGCCCTTTATTTATCAAGATGGCGATGCAAAAACCTCAATAGTGCTTTTGGAACATGTTACGAGTCCCATGCCTGACATTCGTAATACGGCCACACGCGTTTCTGTACAATAGGTGACCTAACGGCCGCCTGACTAAACATGCCAATAGTGACTCCCTTAAAGCACCAGTACGTGGGCACCTGGGCCACGGGCCTGACACCTCAAATTCTAGAGGTGCGAAGCGAAAACGTGACCGCCTATCGGATTTTTCACCTGCGGGCCCAGTGTTTGACGTTTCGGCCTCCAAGTCGTTTTCTTGTGGCGACAAATATCAGACTGCAAGGCTGGGGTGGTGTACTTGTTGTGTAACGCTTTTTTGGGTCTTGTCATGGCGGCTCACGAGAGCCGAGGACCTTTTCGGGGGGATGGAAAGGGCGCTTAGGAGGAATGGGAAAGGGGGATAGCAAAACCAGGAGCAGAGAAACGAAATGAGTGCAAAGAGAAGGAACCATACCAATGGTTCCTAGAATGGATGAGAAGCCAGGACCATAACGACTTGTTAATTAACTACTTATTACAGTAGGACCCAGGGTTACAAGCCATCAAGCAGGTGGGCAAGCAGCCAGGCAGGCAGCAAGGCAACCGAGCGAGAAATTGGAGGGAAGGCGGAAGGGTGATTGGGCAAAAAAGGCAGGAACACAGGGTACGTGGGTAAGTTGGCACAGTGAGACAAGACAAGCAGGTAGCCAGCTCATCAGCGGGGCAGCACTGACAAGGCATTCGACACATACAGCACAGACCAGAGGAGGTTATCTTCTATGCACACAGCAAGTAGAACTTGACGGACTATAGGTGCACTCCACCGTCAAGAGCTAGGGAGCCACAAGATGAACATTTGTCAGCAGCAGGGAACAGAGAGACAGGGAACACACAGACAGAAGCTGAATGTTTGTCTCATCACCCAGCAATACTCGGATTATTTTCTTAACTGTGTTGCATGCGTTTCTAACAAACAGCCACTCTATTTGGCACATCTTGAAGGTGCTTCACTTAGACACCTAGGAAAACAGGCGAGTAGTTGAAAACATTTCCGAAACGAAACACGCATGAAGAAACAACAAGACGAAGAAATAGTATGTGCGAGTGCATGTATGTGGTGGGTGCACGCGCCTCCCAGATGGGCCCTGGGGGGCAGGGACGTGATTTTTGGCACCATATGGCCGCACGACTCTTTTTGGGCAGGCAGCCGTACTGGGCGGTGTACGTTTTCTGGCTCGCATTCCTTCAGGCAGCGTGATTGTGAGATGTTTTTTTTTTTTTCCCCGTCTTTTTTTTTTTAACACTAAGGTGAGTAAGCTATATTCTTCTCTCAATTTCACCTTTCATTATCTACCTGCCACTACTCCTAACCCTTTACAGGGGACCCCTGCAAGCGTAGCCACCTCTCACAATTAAGGGCATGCATGTTGCCCGACGCCCTAATTGGTGTCGGTCAGGGCGTAGGGCGGGGCCGC